AGCATGGCTGCACTCGCTTACGCTAAGGATCCTAAATACCATGGCAGAACCAAACACATTGATGTGAGGTTCAACTTTATCAGAGACATTTTGGCTCAGAAAGAAGTGATCCTGGAGCACATCCCTACGAGTCGCATGGTTGCGGACCCTTTGACTAAGCCCATTGCTAGAGATGTTTATCTTACTCATGTTAGGGCTTTAGGACTACGTAGGTGGTGATATTTTTTTATGTGTATTCAGTTGAACTCATTTTTGGGGATATCTATGCGAGAAGGAATCGCACATTGCTTGACATGGTTAGATCAATGATGGCGCAAGCTAATCTTCCCATTTCTTATTGGGGAGATGCTTTATTGACTACTGTCTACGTCCTTAACCGTGTGCCCTCCAAATTAGTTCCTTCCACCCCATATGAGATGTGGACTGGCAAAAAGCCTGATTTGGGCAATTTGCGGCCTTGGGGTTCGGCAGCTTACATACACAACGCTTCTCATAAGTTTGGGAAGTTGGGCCCTAGAGGAAAGAAGTGTATCTTCATTCGCTATAGTGAGCATTCTAAGGGCTATGTGTTTGTTGGGGAGCATCCGGATGGAAGTGTGACTAAAATTGAGTCACGAGATGTGGATTTCCTAGAGGAGGATTTCCCTAGCAGAGGTGAGGTAACTAGAGAAATAGAACTCTATGAGATGGAGGATCTACTTGAGGGCGCACCTAGTAGCCTAGTAGAGAATGAGGAGATAATTCCTCAAGCTCGTAGGGACAATGGGAGCGATCTACCTGCCCATGGATTAGATCCAATGGATGAGGATTCTCAGGATTCCCAACTACATAGAAGCAAATGTGGAGCTATACCCCATCGTCATTTTGAGATTGAAGGGGAAACATTCATGATTGCTCCAAGTGATGAGATGGAGCCTAAGAATCTCAAAGAGACTCTCTCATCCCCTGCTAGTAAAGAATGGAGTACTCCAATGGATGAAGAAATAGAGTCTATGAAGAAAAATCATGTCTGGGACTTGGTTGATTTGCCGCCAGGGCGCAAGACTATTGGGAACAAATGGGTTCTCAAAATCAAGCGCAAGGCGGATGGTTCCATAGAAAGGTATAAGGCTCGCCTAGTGGCGAAAGGTTACACCCAACGAGAGGGTGTGGACTATGAGGAAACTTTTTCACCAGTTGTAAGGTTTGCCTCTATTCGCCTAATCCTGGCCATAGTAGCTCAGTTGGACTTAGAGCTATATCAAATGGATGTTAAGACTGCATTTCTTAATGGAGAATTGGATAAAGAGATCTATATGGATCAACTAGAAAGCTTTGTGGCAGTAGGTCAGGAGCGCAAAGTTTGCAAGCTTCAACGATCTATTTATGGCTTAAAGCAATCATCCAGACAGTGGAATCTGAGATTTCATCGAGTCATTGTTTCTAATGGGTTTACGATGATTGATGAAGATCACTGTGTGTGCGTTAAGCAGTCCAAGGATATTTTTCTGATATTGTCATTATATGTAGATGACATATTATTGGCTGGAAATGACAAGGAGATGATTGTCGCCACTAAAATGTGGTTGTTCTCTACATTTGAAATGAAGGACATGGGTGAGGCGAACTATGTGCTCGGTGTTAAGATCCTTAGGGATCGCTCTAGGAGACTTCTTGGTTTGTCTCAAGAGACTTACATTAAGACTATTCTAGAGCGATTCCAGATGCAGAGCTGCAAACGCATTGACACTCCTGTTGCAAAAGGCGAGAGCCTAAGTCTTGATGTGGGTCCTAAGACTCAAGAAGAAAATGAAAAGATGGCTCGTGTTCCCTATGCAAATGCTGTTGGAAGCTTGATGTATGCTATGATGTGTACGCGTCCTGACATTTGTTATGCAGTCGGATTGGTAAGTCGTTAGCAATCCAACCCAGGACCAGCTCATTGAAAAGCAGTTAAGAGGATATTACGATATCTTAGAGGGACTGCAGATTACACACTTTGCTACCAGAGTTCAGATCTATATCTAGTTGGCTATTGTGATGCTGACTGGGGAGGAGACCTAGATGAGAGTAAGTCTACTTCAGGATATGCTTTCATGCTTAGCGATGGTGCTATTTCGTGGAGCAGTAAGAAGCAATCCCGTATCGCCTTATCGACGATGGAGGCTGAATTTGTGGCTTGTTCATCTGCCGTTCAGGAAGCCGTGTGGTTGAGGAGATTCCTTCAGCATTTGGATGTTGTCACACACACTTCAGACCCTGTGACTATCCATTGTGACAGCATGGCTGCACTCACTTACGCTAAGGATCCTAAATACCACGGCAGAACCAAACACATTGAT